GAGAGAGAGAGAGAGAGAGAGAGAGAGAGAGAGAGAGAGAGAGAGAGAGAGAGATTTTCACGGGGAGAATTCACTTCACTCCCTCAAGTCCTGTTCAACTATGTGTCCTGTCTCTGTTTTTATGATCCTCGTATCTGAGAACAACACAAAAACTCTGAACTAAGATTTTTAAAGCTAACATTCAAGGATAAGTTAACCTGAGAAGAAAACTTTGTTTAACTGTAAGAAATATTTCTGGCTTGAAGGATTTAGTCACAGACTCTGGGGAGCCAGAATCTTCCAAGCCACCCTTTAAGCTGACCAGGTACCTGTCCTGTAAACTTGACAAAAATCATTTCTTTGATTGCAGTAATAAACAAACAAGTAAATAAGAACTAACCTAACAATCTGCTCAAATCGTAACACTTCTCTCTCATCCAAATTCCAAAGTGAACTGTTTATGAAATAGTTAACTTTGTGTAAACTCACCTCAAATAAACAATATCCTGTCCAACAGATTGATTATTGTTTGATACCTAAGATTAAAATAGTATTCATCTTAGATTTACAACATCAGTAATCTAAGAATTTTTCAACCTCCTTTGAAATCTTTTTAACACTTTATTTTTTTTCTCTTTATGTTATGTTTCTATTTTTGTAATCAACTTTTAAAAGACATAAATTGGTTTCTTCCTAATTGAGGACTCGTTGCTTATGATAAGAGTTCACATTTTGGTGTACGAGTTCTGACTGAAAAGGGTGAATAAATAAGCATCAGTAAATCTGATGTGTTGACCCCCTCAACAGGCAAAAAATGTGTCAGGCTGCAGAAACAGGGTCGCACTACTCTCCTGCATCCTCTTACTTGCTATATAAATATGATGGAGTTTAAAAATGAAAAGAAGGTTACTGTATGTATTTTAGTCTAGTTTTTTTTGCTTTGCTCTTGTATTTTGTAAATATATGCTTTAATTTGTTTTATTTTATGGTCTTCATGTGCTCTAAAATATATTTTCTGTGTTGGTTTTTAATGAAATTTTGTTGGTGTGTTGTTTTTATTGAAGAACCAGTGAAGTCAACTGATCAGAGCCATATGAAAGATTGAACTAAAGAATCATCATCACATTTATTTTATTACAACTTTGGATAAACTGTTGAGTAAAAACTTTTTTTCCCTGTGATCTAACAGTGTCTGTTTTTTCTAGCTCCTGTTTCACACACTGTTTTGGTGAAAGCTRAGACTCTTTCCACACCCCTGTGCTTTGAGGTTAAAGAACCCATTCTGAAACTTTTTCACCATCCCAGTAGGGGTCAGTAATATTTTTTTGTTTTTACCATCCCAGAATGGGAAGTTTTACCCTTAAATTCACAAAGTGATGTAATCTTATTGGTGATTTGTATCAGGGCTGTATATGAACGGTGAGCTGGATTCAGTGACAAACGGAGGCTTCACAAAGATTGTCATCCATGTCAGAAGTGACCAACATGTTGAGGTTGACACGGAGGGAGTCACTATTCGAGAGGGACAGTCTACGACACGCCACACAGGACAGGATCACATCACAGCTGGGAAGTGAGCTTGCATAAATTAATAATCAGCATTTCATTAACCACCCCAGAGATAAAGCACTTAGAATTGGTGGGTCAGGAGGTAGACAGATGCGTACATAGGTAGGTAGATTGGGGCGGCTGTGGCAGAGTGGTTAGGTGGTTCGATTCCAATGCTATTTGGCCACAGGTCGAAGTGTTCCTGGGCAAGACCCTGAACCCYCACTACCCATGATGTGCATCCCATCAGTGTATGAGTGTGAGTTAAAGCACTGCTTAATCTTTATAGAATGACTTATCTGTATTAGCTTTGTATAGAAAGAGTGCTGAATGAATGTGT